TAGTTTAACCGCTTGCTGTAACGGCCTTTCTTGCCGCATCACAAAGTGCGTCCCAATGCTGTGATGCAAAATAAGAATTTTCAAAAATATCTCAAATTTTCGACAATCACTCAAATGTTGAATGGGAAGGAACTACAGAATTTTCGGCGACTGCATGTTCATACTTCTAATAGCGAGTGTTTTGCATTAACATTGCACGGAGCTAGTTCTCGGAGGTAGAAAATGTATGTTTCAAGATACAAAACCGGAAGCTTATATGGAACCAGGTAATGCAAATGCGCTGAAACAAGTTCTGATAATGGGTGAGCTGGATAGGGTCACCGCTATGAGTTCTGGACAAAGAAGAAAAATTCATTCATGACCACTCGGTTCGCTTTGTGGACAACTCATGTCATCCATCATGAAGACTTTAATGATAGTCGATGCTCAGGCGCTTTGGACATCGTAGTCTTGCCTGTCAGCATGAAGCATGTAGTACTCTTGCAGCTCGAAAATGCGTGAGGAAAGTCGTACAGAACCAAGGCTCCGCCCACTGGCCACAATGACGCCCAACTTCCATTTCTATCTGCTACGTAATGGTGCGGCTGTTCCGCTGCGATCTCTCTCCATTTCGAATGGTGAGGGTGAGGTGGTAGAGTCACCAACACCAAGTGAAAGCTCATTTGACCATCCCCTTTCTTCGTCCTATGCACGTACAATCGGACTCCATGGGTTTCTATATGGGGCAATTGGACGGCTTATTAGTGCTTTTGCCTTCACTTGCGTGTTATTTACCGTCTCTTTGTTAGTATCTGAGCCAAATCACCATTTCTGAATGCGGCGCGAGCCTCTAACTATAAGTAAACAGTCACCATTCGTTAAAGACCAATACGCTGCCTGTTCTCGAATGGAATATCTCCGGTTTCCAGGTGTTTATACCAGCGCGGTACCGCCATAACAAGCGACAGCTCTTCTGAAGGGAACCCAAGTGCTCCCGCAGATTCCACAGAGAGGCCCTAGAGGATTTGATAATACAAAACTGTTCAGGAGCAACCTAACTGGTTGGATGGAAGCTTCAACACGGCTGCAACGCACACCCTCTGCGGTGACCAAAAGAACAATCCTACCATTCACAAGGGGTG